GAAGGAAGATGGGGCAATCTACTTCTGTAGTGATACTGCCTCGGAAACCCAAGGAGGGGTCGCTATGAGTCAGGTCCGACTCGACGGCACATTACAACAACAACAACATTACAATATACATTCTGATTTTTCTTTACAATTGATTCTTTTCTCATTTATATGCCATAATAAAATGATCAAGTTAAGCCTCACCCACCTGAGCATCTTGCTCTACCTGAGCTTCATCAATTCTAGCATCAGGGTCTCGATTAGCCTGTAAGAGATTACATGTAACATTACTGAATTCTAGAATCATTTTGATTCCAAAGGAAAAATGGTTCCAGCTGATTTTTATGCATATAAAGGTTTTTCTCTTTGGAATAATATGCAATCTTTGTTTTTTCCAAGATACTAACAATCCTATAATATTTCACACTGTCACATAGCACTGTCCAAAACCATTCTAACCTGCTTGATTTTAAATTCTTTAGATATAAAAGTATAGAGCTACCCCAAAAATCTATATATTAGCTTTTAAGAGTTTAGTTCAGACATTCTGAACCAGCCAAAAACATCGCTGATTACAGTTAAGAAATATAAAGCACAGAAATTATTAAAAAATTCAGGATTCAGGCCAGTCCAGCTGCAGATGTTTTAACCAATCAATCAGACTATAAATAGTCCCCACCCAATACCTGAAGAAGAACCACCAACATCCTCTGGTAGTAGCCTGAAGTGTCCCCTACAACATCATCTTCCAGGCTCGAGCCATACTCTACAACAGAATAAATTCATACTTATATATATCTTCTTTCAAGCAGAAAATGATACACATAATCAAATGAAAGAAACATTGTATCTGATGAACATGAATTTTCTGTACTTCATCTCTGAGCACTTTAAGGACTAAAGGCAAATACTGTAAGTGGGCAACTGGATGAAAATGAATTAAAGTCTTAAAAGTACTACACATTCAAGCCTAGCCATTTAAAAAATGCTTTCAACCAATGTAGCTATTAATCTGTAGATGCATGATGGTACTGGAAAGCCTCTTAAATACAATCAATCATAATTTATAAACTCTGATTTTGCTTTCTTTCAAATGTTTTACATTAGTTTCCAAATTCTTCCATTCTCTAATGTTCCGAGTTTTCTTCCTGTGGTCATGGTCCTTCCTAGCCCTAAGAAGATATTTTTCTTCTTCAGCAATAGAGTTAACTCTGAGATACAGCAGTGATATTTCAAAGCATAGCCCCACCCCATCTCTTTTCCAGTTGTTTAACATAGAGCACCAGTACCAGTATTAACTGCCTTCAAGTAGACTGACTCATGGGGAGCCCATGTGTTTCAGAGTTGAATTGCCCTCCATAAGGTTCTCATGGCTCTGACCTTTCAGGAGCAGATCACCAGGCCTTTCTTCCAATGCACCTCTGTGTGGCTTCAAACCAACCAACCTTTTGGTTAGTAGCCCAATGCTTCACTGTCTGCATAACCCAAGGTGCAGTGCAGTGAATTGTTTAATATGGCCCTTCTAGCCATCGTCCTCCATTTTGTGATGTATTCTGAATCCTAATCTCTGTGCCTGTTTAGTGTGGGATGTATCTTGAGTCCTGCCTTGCTGGAGGATGTGACTCAAGTCACTACCCTTAGCTTCCTTGAGGGTATATATAGGAATGTTCTGGGAAAGCTTAATCTCTTGTTCAGGTTCTACATTTTGTTTGTCATCATTTCACCCTTGGACTTGAGAGAGCAGCCGTCACCTGACCTGCCAATTTGGGTTCATCAACCTCTGCAACCACATGAGTTGGGAGAATCTTCCAGACCTACCCATAGACCTGGGACTTGCCAGCCTGCCAGCCTCCCAGCCTCCACCATCATCATGTGAGCTGTTTCCTTGGGAGTTTGTGATTTCTGTGAGATGTTACAGTGAGCTATGGAACCCTAAGATGAGAGGGAGATTACTGAGGGAAGGAGGAGGAGTTGTTATCAGAGATGATGGAGTGGCATGGCAATTTGAAAAAGGTGGACATTTGGGATATCTTTAACCTCTGCCTCAGGGGACTGTCCTTATGCTGATCTTCCTAAAATAAATTATTCAAGTACAGGGACTTTTCTGTTCAGCATATATAGCCCACAGAAAAGGAGAAAACTGGAATCTACAAGACATAATGAGCCCTTTTCACTAATTTGCAAATAGCTGACATTAGATGAAAGGATGTATTACTCTAAGGCACTTAAATATTTAATCATTATTTGAAATCAGGCAATCTTTAAAAGCCTGAAATTTCTATTTTAAAAGGTCAAAGAGTTCAATGTTTATTTCAGTTACCCAAATATAAAACGCTGAATGACTATTTGATTCCTTTGTCTACTCCAACACCTATATATAATTAACCATCAATTCCTAACAAATTATTTCTCCTCTCTCTGATTTATCTTCCTCACACTTCTCACCACCCTAAATTGGGCCATAATTACTAAATGCCTAGCTTATATCCTCATACAAGCAGCTGCCTAATCAGTCTCTTAATTCAAATCTCCTTCTTCCCTCAATGGTTCCTTCAACATTTCATTGCCCATTTAGGAAACTGCAATGCCTTTGAATCAAGTTCAAATTCCCAATTCAGTCATGCAAAGCCATATGTAACCTAGTCTAACCTCACTTATTCAATTTCTACCCACAGAGGACATACACACACCTTCCACTGCAAGCAGGTTCTCTCTGTCCCTGGGTGGCACAAATGGCTAATCACTTTTCATAGATGAAAGGAGGCATTTTGGAGGAAAGGTCTGGTGGTCTACTTCTGAAAGGTCACCAGAGTAAAAACCTCGTGGAGCAATTCTACTCTCACATACAGGATTTCCATGAAGCAGAATCAACACTACATCAACTAACAACTGTCCCTTAATACACTCTCTTCATCCAGTCCCTCTAGGCCTTTGTAGATAAGGGGTACCTGGGACAAAAACACCCTCTCTGCCAACCCACTTATTCTTATTCTTGAAACCCTGCTCAGGGCCTGACTACACCATAAGGCCTCTACTAACATCCAAACCCACGATGACCTCTCTCATCTCTGAATGAGTGCTTTCATTGAACATTTTGGTTTTTGACTTTCGTTTGAATTTTACTGTCCTTTAACTACTGCAATTAAGTCACATCACCTCTAAACAGGCTGCAAATTCACAAAAAGGAGCTGCGCTATACACATCTTCTGTGTTTCTCATGACAGCCAGTACATAGCTATACAGTACATAACTAGTGTTCAATAACACTGCTGAGCAGGATGGTCCCTAACCAGTTATTATCCATTGGTGGCATGCTATTTGTCATCCAGCAGCACAAAGACTCACTCATCAATGCCCAACTCCCCAGAAAAAGATCTTTCCCTATTACATCAAATAAAGTTCAGAGATGATAATCTGCAGTTGACATACACATCTCACCTCTGTCTTAGTGCTTGCAGTCTATCTAGCTATAAAAGGAGAAGTAGGAAAAAGAGATCTAGCACTTCAGAAAGGTAATTATTTAGTTGTTATAAAATCCACACCATTCTGACTTAAAGGATTAGCAAAGTCTTTTTTAAGACTAACAAATTAATGCCAAAACAGACCCATTTCTCTATCTCAAGGCACTTGGCTCGGAGGTTTGTTGACTGAGCTGACAACCTGTATGGTATAGTCCTCTTCAGTGAGGAAGGGGAAATAGACTATTACAGGCAGGTTGACAAGAAAGGAAGAACTCTCTAACTTTATAATTTAATTTTCTTGATACCATGCACAGCCTGAAACATTTCCGACTGAAATAGACTCTTTGGGGATGTTTTGTTATTTGTTTTCACAAAAAAGCAAGGCATAACAAAAATGAAAATAAAAATGCAAAGTACTCAATTAGCTAAGAAGACATACATTTTTATCAGTTCTGATTTGGAAAATGGTATAGGTTTCTTTTCTCAGGTTCTCAAAAGGCCCACATGAAACTAAATATTTTCAAAAAAGAAGAAAAAGCTCTTACATCTTAAAGTTAATATAAAAGATAAACAATCTACATATCTACACTAACTGCAAATCCTATGCAAAGTAAATTTCACCTTCATAAATAGGTTCTTATAAACTACTAAACTAGCTACAAGTAAAAAAGTAATGTTCCTTATTGAAGGAGCTCTAGTGGTATAGTGGTTAAGGCATTTGGCTGCTAACCAAAAGGGTGGTGGTTCAAACCCATCAGTGCTCCATGGCAGGAAGATGAAGCAATCTACTTCCATAAAGATTTACAGCCTTGGTTGGGACCATAGTCGCAGAGGACATCAAGCTCAATTGGTATAACATACTACACAAAACATTATTCCACCTCCTACTTTGGCAAGTAGCGACCGGGATCTTAAAAGCTTGCAGGCAGCCATCTAGATGCAATGATGGGTCTCTCCTCATCCAGAGCAAAGAAGAATGAAGAAAACCAAAGATTTATAGAAACAATTAGTCCAAGCAAAAGGTACACCATGTGATCCACAGCCTACACAACTATGAGACCAGAAGAACTAGATGGTACCTAGCTACCACTGTCAACCACTTAGATGGGGATCAATGTAGGAAATCCTGGATAGAAAGGGAGAACAATGTAGAACAAAACTCAAAATCATTTGGGGGGAAAAAAGAAAGGGACCAGGTTTGCTGGTCTGATAGAGCCTGGTGGAACCATTGAGACTATGGCCCCTAGCTACCCTTCAGGTCTGGAATTGAACCCACACCTGTGGCTTCCAGCCAAACAAAAGACAGGCATATGAGGTGAACATTTACCTGAGGTAGATACACTCCTAGAGAGAAAAATCATGGGAGAAAGAAGGGCTGTTTATGCACAGGGAGACAGCTCAAGGGGCAGGAGTGCATGGAGTGAAGGATATAGGGAAGAGGTAACTATCGGAAGGAAGATGGAGGGGTGCCGTTGAATTGGGGTAAATTGTAGTCAATGTCATGAGACAAAGTGTGTGAACTGCTGTATGGAAAGTGAATTTGCTCTGTAAACTTTCAACCAAATCAT